GGGGCGGCTGAGGGGGGGCCATGGAGGTCTGAGGGGCGAGGGGGAGCTGAGGGGCTGTGTGGGGGTCTCAGGGGGTCTCAAGGGCCGCGTGGGGGTTTCGGGGGGTCTCAGGGGTGAGAGGGAGGTGAGGAGGGCTCTGAGGGGCGAGGGGGAGCTGAGGGAGTGCATGGGGGTCTCAGGGGGTCTGAGAGAGCCTTGAGGGGGCTGAGGGGGATCCTCAGGGGCTGGGGAAGGGGGGGGTTCTGAGGGGACCCTAAAAAGGGGTTCCTGGAGGGCTGGGGGACCCTGAGGGGGGCGGGGGGGCCCGATCAGGGGCCTGAGGCAGCTTTTGGAGGCCTGAGGGATTTGGGATCCCTGAAGATCCTTGGATTTGGGATCCCTGATGATCCATGGATTTGGGGCTCCTGGGGGTCCCTGGATTTGGGGTCCCTGAGGATCCCTGGATTTGGGGCCCCTGAGGATCCCTGGATTTGGGGTCCCTGAGGATCCCTGGATTTGGGGCCCCTGGAGGTGCCTGGATTTGGGATCCCCGGACTTGAGGCTGACCCCCAGATCAATCCTCGGGTTCATCCCCAGAACTCCCCCTGTGCAGGAAGCTGCTGATCTCTGATGTTTGCCAGATGAAGCCCAGAATGTGTGATTTTATCACCTTTTTGGCTAAATAGCTCTGAAATGAGTTTGTGTCCAGGATGGTCCGGTGCCTGCGAAGTTGGAGTGGATTTACAGCGAGCTGGCCGAGAATTTGAGTTTATTTGTGGGTTTTCTTCTGGGGTTTTTGATCTCCTGTCTGGTGCCCTGTGGCTCGTGGGATTGTCAGGTTTGTCCCTGGCCCTGCTGAACGGTTTTATTTTAACACTCTGAGGGGTTTTTGTGGCTTTTAAATGTTGGGAAAGCGCGTTGGGTCACTCGTGTGCGAGGGTTGTGAGAACCCAGAGAGGGAGGAAGAGGCTTTAAACTGCATTTCCAGGCGTTGGTGGAAGCGGTCGCTCTCAGAGCTTCGCCGTTCCTTGCGCAATAAGAAAGTTTGGGACGAATTCTCAAGGAAAGCGGAGTTTTCGACATCTGTGTTTAATCTTTGTAACCGTGGGCAGAGCGGCCAGGGTTTGCTCAACCCTTCTACTCACTGAATGTGGAGATTAGCAGGGAAATAAACTCTGGGGGAGAGTTCCCACAAATAATCCAGATCTCCCTTCCCATGGCATTCAAAGCCAGACTTGAGGGCTCCACTGGATAATCCATTGGATGACGCCCCAAAATGCCCGGAATGCCCTCCCAGCCCAGCTGGGCCGTGGGGAGGGACGGCAAAAGGCACCACAAAAAGAACTTGGAGGTTATTTGGGCACTCAGAAAGTTACAGGGAGAATAACTTGGGGCTTGTTTCTGTGCTCAAAGCTGTCAGAAAGGGCAGTTCGATGGTCTTTTTGAGCTGTGAAGAGTGGGGGGGTTGAGAGCTTTTGGTCTTGTCAATTTAATCCACTTTTTTGGTGTTTAAATCTCCTGGTTGGGAGTGGAAAGCAAAGAGCCTCCACTGACAGGGGCAAGGCATTAAAAGTACAACTGCTTGCCTCACTTGCTTTATTTTACGGGTTTTAGTTTTAATTGGCATTGTTGGGAGACGTTCAGTGCTGGCTGGGTGAATACAGGAACATTTGGGTTTGCAAAAGCAGGATTCCAGCCACTCAAAACAAGCCAAAAAACCTTCTACTTCCTTAAAAAAAATCCATTTAATGTACCCGAGGCGCAGACACGGAGATGTTTTGTAAACAAAAAAACACAAAAGCAGAAATATCAGAGCCTTGTAGCTCTGTGGGTGAAATGCAGGGTAGTTTCAATGTGCTTTATCTGTTCCTGACCCTTTGGGGAGTTCACAAGTGGCTGAATTTAAAGCAAATCTTGGTTTGTGTGTGTCCCCCCCAAGGCCTCTGCAGCAAAAGGCCCCGGGTTTGGTGTGTTTTGTACAATAAAAACGCATTTCCAAGCTGCTGCAGCCCCTCTGGTAGATCCCAGCTGGGAGGATTGGCTGTGCATTCATTCTGGAGGGTTTTTTTTTTCCCTGTGGAGATTCCAGTGGTTGCAGCAGAGCCTTTCCCAGGAGAGCTGGGCCAGGAGCCCGGAGCGACGTCGGGGTGGGGGGTTTGGGGTTTACAAACCTTTCCCTCCTGGCCCTAATTAGATCCCACACGTGGGGAAGGAAGCAGGGATTGGATCTGGGAAGGGCTGGGACAGACACCCCTCAGGATGCTGGAAAGGGTGAGGAGGCCGGAGCTCTTCCCACCCCATCTCCCTGGTTTTGGGGGATGTATCCACACTGATGGCAAAACGGGGTCAGTCCCAGTTTTCCACCTGTTCCTGAGAGGGGAGTGTCTCCTGGTGGGAAGCTGCAGCCCGAGGTGAAGGGGGTTCCTTTGGGATGCAGATCCAGCTCTGGGCTCCCTGGGAATGCCAAAGGCTCCCGAACAAACAGCCATTCCCTGTGAGTCGGGATCAGAGGAACAGCCCAGTGTCGCTTCCTTCCCCTGCCCGGGGTGGGAATTCCTTCCCCTCCATAAAGGGATTTTCTGCCCTGCTCCAGGAACTCCACTGGTGTTCCCACCGTGCTGGTGACCAGGGCTGGGCAGGAGAACCCTCCTGACCTGCCTCACTGCCACTCAAAACTCTGCTTGGTCGAACAAAATC